CTCTCTCTCCTGGCTGGCTCTCCTCGCCCTCTCTCTCTCTCTCTCTCCTTGCCCTCTCTCTCTCTCCTTGCCCTCTCTCTCTCCTGGCTGGCTCTCCTCGCCCTCTCTCTCTCTCTCTCTCCTTGCCCTCTCTCTCTCTCCTTGCCCTCTCTCTCTCCTGGCTGGCTCTCCTCGCCCTCTCTCTCTCTCCTGGCTGACCTCAATATTCCAAGAGCACCAACGTCCCTCCAGACATAGACTCCTCCCCTTAATCATACAAGGCCTCTATGATAAGTTGTGGCAGTGTGGCCTCTATGTATTCTGCATTCCGGAAGTGAGACTTGTTGGGCCTTGTGAATCTGCGGCTGGTCCACGGACAAGCCATTCACACATCCTTGGAGTCGTACTATTGTTTGCTTGTTTTGTTTTTGATAACAAAAATGCAAAGTACTCATTATCACCACCACTACCCCCACCACCAGGGTAGCCCTAAATGGCTTGATTCTCCAGAGTACTGAAATAAGCCATCAAATCTGGATTGTGCTTCTTATTAGCCATTGTAAATGGTTGTTATTTTTGCACTGCATCATTTGGGTCCTGTGTTCCCAACCTACCACAGAACATTATCTTCATGTATGGTTTTTGACAATGAGTTAGCAAGAGGAGGGAGCAGGGGTAGGTCACTCTTCTGACTTACTAAGCTGTGTGTATAATCTAAGCTTCAGCCATGGATCTTTAAAAAAAAAAACTTTTTTGCCCAACGAAGATTAGTGTAAGTCAGTATATGAAAAGGAGCCTAACGGCCCAGCTTCCAGATGGAAGACAGCTAGGGAAGACTACAAAATCATACATAAAATGTTATATTTACCTCACAAAAGAAAAATATATATTTTGTTAAAATGTTTTTGCTTTTTGATCATCCAACAATTGTGGTTATTTTTTTTAGCAAAAAATAAAGATCAAATATAGAATAGCACCTTAGCTTTCCTGTTAATGCATCACAGGTCTAGTTGTCAAGAGGGGACTTGCAATTGTAGCCAGTGGACATATTTGATTGTACAAAAAAAATTCCCTTGAAAGCAAACAACTTGTTTATGACAACCTGAAACCTCTGCTCATTGCAGGAGATGGATTGGGAAGCACTTTATGCACGAAAGCTGCAGCCACCTTTTGTCCCATCCCTAAAAGACCCTTATGATGTGAGGAATTTCGATGAAGAATTTACTGGACAGAAACCCATACTGTCCCCATCTGACGATCCGCGCCCTGTGACTGCCATCGATCAGATCCTCTTCCAAGACTTTGACTTTGTCTCTGACCTCCTTCTTGCACGATAGGAAATAGTGATGTTTTCATTGAGAGCCTAGCGGGGGTTAAGTAAAATGTTTCGGCTCTCACTGTTTTTTTGTCTTGGATTTTACATATCGCGCCTCTGTTCATGTGAATATGCGGACATTAGTGGGAGAACAAAGCGCAGTCGTGTCGCTCGTGGAAATTTGTACATCCTGGAGATTCTGGCACTTACACCTGGTCTACCTCTGCTCTGGGATTCCTTCACATAATACTACACACAAGTACTACTTGCTTGAATAGGGCTCTAGTGCATTGTAAATATTTTATTTAGATCTCCCAGCTTTCAACAGTGACTATCAGCCTGCACCCTATAGTGTGAAACCATCTGGAGTAAGACATCAGAGGATGTTTATCAAACTACTGCATCAATCTCCATGCTTTCTTATAGGAAACCTGTCACAGAGCTGCCATTTGTTTACTTTTTTTAAATGCTGGCAGTAATGCTGATCTTGTGGCTTCCATACTATGAGTCACTAAACCTGGAACAAACATGCAGGTAAGGACTTTCCAGCAAATCTCCTGATCTGCAAACATGTTCCCCGTCAGCCACTCAGTTTTCAAACTAGTGGTTTAGTAGAAGAGCCAGACAACTAGCAATCGTGGCCCAGCAGCAGCAGCCTTCATATTTCTCTTAGGGTCGGTTTATTTTAAAATGGTGCCAAATATTTAACTTGCAGTATAGTAAATAAAAGTCTGCATTTGTACACCTTGAATAATAATCATTTAAGCAATAAAGACACACACACACTTGGGGGGGAAAAAAACTTGCATTGCATAGAAGTTGTATTTATTTCCATTTTACTGTGTCCATGTCCATGCATTGGAAGTTGTTTTATACTAAGCTCCGCCTTTATTGCATGTGTGTGTGCTGGAATGTGTTCAGATATTTATAGGGTTCATAACTGGATAGGATTAAAGACTGACAGGTTATTTTTTGTTGTCGTGATGGAGAGAACATCTCTACAAAATGGGGGAATTCCCCACCCAGACAGTTGTCACCAGAACAGGTGTCCCTATTGGAAAGCAACCCTAAAATTTCTGGAATTTTATAATATATATATATTATTATATAATATTATATTTTTTTATTATATAATAATATAATAAACTCATTTTTCTGAATGCCAAGAGGAAAAACAGACAGAACTATAAACTTGACAGAGGGTTGAATCCTTCTGTTTTCTGTCCAAAATTTAAAGAAAAAAGGTTCTGATTTGTACATGCGCTTTAAGAATGTTTGGTAGGCCAGGTTTCAGCACCTCCAGGAGATAGCTAAGGCACTTAGAAGGGTAGTACACTCAAAAGTGATATTTAAGTTACAGGAGAGGTCAACCATTAGCTTCAAATATGTTGTGAGGGTTTCTAGCAGTGATATATTTGGTCATAGTTGCTATCTCACCCCCTTTGAGGTGTTCCCATTCCTCCTGCAGAATTCTCCACAAAATATGTAAAAAAAATACAGCTGGGAGATTCGGAGCCCCCTCATAATGGTCAGAGCTGGTTTGCAGACCCGGGATCTAAACGCTGCAGATTTCACTATTGGGAGACAAACTATTACATGATTTAAAGGGTTGGTTCCCTTTTTTATATATATATTTTTAAATCATCAACGTTACATGTTACAATGCAAATTAAAATGCTGCCTTCTGGTTTTTAAATTATTCTTACTTTTATTAATGCTGCTCCTGTAGACTCCCTCGACGAGTCCCAACTACATGGCAGGACGGACCGATCGTTGGATATGCAGCCCCAGCTCTTCGTGAATGAGAACTTGGCTTGCTAACCATACACGCACAGTCCTCTTCTCTCGTAGCAGCGGCTGAGCTCCGCATTCTGCCAGAGAGAAAGTAGACTGCGCATGCGTGGTCAGCCAAGCCGAGTGCATCCGTTGGAGAGGGGGAACCCACAGGGGCAGCAATGATAAAAGTAAACCTCATTTTTAAACACAGAGCAGTATTTTATTATGTATTGTAAGTTGTAATGTAGTTTTGACATAAAAACATTACAGGTGAACTACTAACTGGCATCCATTATCTACCGGAAATATTTTGGACAGGGCATCACATTGTATGAACATTGTATTTTGGACAGGGCATCACATTGCATGAACATTCCAACACATACAGCACGAAGCGCTGGTGCATCAGTTGATGTATATTTGTGCTGGGGTGCCATTGAGAATGAATAGCAGAGCGCACATTTACAGCACATTAATGTGCACTGCAATAATGCTTCCTAAAACATGAGTTTAAAGCAAACCCATAGGTGTGAATCCAGCCTTAGAAAGTACAGAGGCAGTCAATTTAATTTGTATTTACACTTGGAGAGGTCAGCAATAGCAGAATCCATCCTTCCTCTAGACATGTTTTCTTTAAACATTTCCCCAAGGTTAGCTGACTTTATGTGAGACTACAGGTCCTGCCTTGAATGGGAGCTTTATTCAGCTGTTTAGGTAGAAGGATGATGGTTTTTAAGATCAGTTACCCGAGTACCTTTACTGCTTATGTAAAAGTTGGTGACAGGTGAGTAAGATCTTCACATTCTAAGCCAAGCACCTTCCATCTATAATGGCAGAGTGGAAGGAAACATGGAGGCTGCTATTGCTGAGCTCACTTCCAGAAGTGCTAATTGCCAGGGATCGCGGCCGGCAGTCGGGCCCAGGTCCCGGGCAGGGCTCCCGCCGACGTGACCCTGAAAGGGGGGGAACATTCGTCCTCTTGCCCCCTCCCTCCAGGTTGAGCATGACGAGCTGGCCGGAGGAGACTTGGTCTTTTTTTCCTGATCAGCTAATGCTGATTCCCCTGGATTCAATACTTTGAATCATTTATCCAGAACAAGTGTGCAGATAAAGCCCTCTGACTTTCCCAATCTGCCTAAATCAGCGGTTCTCAACCTGTGGGTCGCAAGTCACTGTTGAGGGGGGTCGCAGCATCCACTTGTGCTGCGCTAGGTGAGAGGCTCCTCAGCCTCCTCCTAGCGTGGCAGTGTCAGTCAGCGGGAAGACAGCAGAGGCTGTGATTATAAAAGTGCCGCTATACACACTCCCTGGCCGCTGCAGCGTCATCTAGTGGCCGGGGAGTGTGTACAGCAGGGCTTTTCTATTCACAGCCGCTGCTGTCCTCCTGCCTCCCGTACAATGTGAGCTCTGCAGGAGGCGGGCATCTAAGCAGTGCCGGGGCTGAGAAGGCTGCATGGAGGCAGAGCAGGGGCTGGGGAGGGCTTGTATTCTTGTGAGTGTGCTTCTATTTTTAGTCCCAAGTCCAGCGCCTTACTAATTCTGGAGTACAGCGCTCCGTTGGGGGTCACCACAACTTGGCAAATGTCACCACGGGGTCCCGGCCCTAGAGAGGTTGAGAACCACTGGCCTACATGATCTGGATCCAGGGATGTACTGAAGCCAAAGGGTCAGCATAACAGCCAGGCAACTTACTGGAGGTCGGCAATGACTGTCTCTCGTATTTCTTTTATAATAGATGTACTTTAATATTGTACCTGAATTTATTTAATCGCCGTCTGTGCCCCCCTATTGTGAGATTGACCCACACTTGATGTCTGAGTGACAACATGACCCCCAACGAGGCATCAGACAGCGGTGAAGTTCTCACTCTTCCCTACTCTATCCTAAACTGCAAAAAAAATGTGTTGAGCACGTTTTACTAACAATGTCAAAGTTACTGAACCTGTTCTAGACGCAGGAAATTCTTTCTACATAAGTAACCTCGTTCTGCTTGTACCATCGTTTTATCGGTGTGACCATTGTTTTACTTTTCAGTGAATCCCAATCATCGAAAAGCTCTTTGGGGATTAAATCAGCACAGTATTGGGTAGCAGAAAGTATAGGCCTTTATGGTTTTTAATGTATTGATCCCGTGAGAATGTGTTTTCACTATTATAAAGGAAGGCGAATGTACAACAAAAATGTAATTATACATGATGAAAACAAAATATGAAATCTAACATGTTCTCCTTAAATTATTATTATACAGGATTTATATAGCGCCAACAGTTTGTGCAGAGCTTTACAATATAAGGAAGACTTTACAATCACAATACAATTCAAGACAAGATGGTAAGGAGGGCCCTGCTCTTGAGGGCTTACAATCTAAAAGAGGAGGGGGTAGTGATACATGAGGAGGTAGCTGTGTGTGGATGAATTGTCTGAGAACGTGATGGTTGAGCGGTTAGGTTGAGGTGGGATAGGCTTCTCTGAAGCGATGAGTCTTAAGGGATCGCCTAAAGGCAGTCAGAGTGGGAGATAGATGAACAGATTGGGGTAGAGAGTTCCAAAGGATGGGAGAGGCTCTAGAGAAGTCTTAGCGGCAAGCATGGAGGAGTTGATGAGGGAGCTGGAAAGCAGGAGGTCTTTGGAACAGCGGAGGGGACGGTTAGGGTGATACTTTGAGACAAGGTTGGAGATATATCCGGGGGCGGAGTTGTGAATGGCTTTGTAAGTGGTTGTTAATATTTAGAATTGTATCCTTTGGGCTATTGGAAGCCAGTGCAGGAATTGGCAGAGGGGGGATGCAGACACTGAGCGGTTGGTTAGGTGGATGAGTCTAGCAGCTGCATTCATGATAGACTGAAGGGAGGAGCCTGTTTAGTGGAAGGCCAATGAGGAGGGAGTTGCAATAGTCCAGACGAGATATAACAAGGGAATGGATGAGTAATTTTGCGGTTTCATTGGTGGGGAAGGGGCATATTTTGGAGATGTTACGAAGGTGAAGGCGGCAGGATCTGGATAGTGATTGGATGTGGGGAAGAAAGATGAGGGCCAAGTCAAGGATGACACCTAGGACCTTGGCACGGGGGGAGGGTTGGATAATTGTGTTATCAATCTCCAGGGAAAAGTGGGAGGGAGCTGCGGCCGTGACATGTAAAATTCTATTATACCCCGAAAGTAAGACCTAGCGGATCTCTGTAATATAAGACCTACCACCGAACTAGGTCTTATTTTCGGGGTAGGTCTTATATTACAGAAATCCCTGATGATAGCACTAGGTCTTATTTTCGGGGTAGGTCTTACTTTCGGGGAAACACGGTATTTGAGTGTCATCGGCATAGATGACAATGATGCGTGGAGTTTCTCAGTGGCAGACTAGTTTTGTATGTTAAGGAAACCGACAATTACCTTCTATCTGAAGCAGTTACAGACGTGTGCAGTGGGGGGAATAAAACTGGCTGCCCCTGTCATGTCACTTGGTCCATGTCACGTCACACTTGTGAACCTGCTACTACTGGGTCAGTCCCTCACTGGCTTACATGCAGAGTGGCAATGGTTAGAGCATTTCCCAGGTTCTGAGTGTTGTTTTACATCTCCACTGCGCAGGTTTTCAATCATCACTTCCTGTCCAGGTTGAGGGCTGCTAGAACAGGAAGTGTGAGGAACTCTCCCCAAATGGGTCACAAACAAAGGCAATAAAACCCGACAGAGGGTCACATCCTTCCACATTCTAGCCACAACTTAAAAAACATAGGGGGTTATTCACAAAAAGGTTAAGGGTTTGGAGAAGTGAACAATCTAAGACAACATAGCTGAACTGGGAAGTGAACTGAATTGGAGAATTTTTCCAAATCAGCGATGTTGTCCTAGATTGTTCACTTCTCCGGCCTTCTCCAAACTCCTCACCCTTTTGTGAATAACATTGTATAGTGTTGGCTGGAGACAGACTTTGATATAATGGCCAGGCTCAAGCTCTCGGGCACGTGGAAGGAACTGTGTATAAATGGCACCCATTGCCACACCCATGGCAGAAAGTGCGTAATGAAGTATTCAACATCCATGTCACAGCGACAACATGTTTACGATAAACTGGCACTTAAAGAAGGCTTGTCAACCGTTTCTGATGGGATTGTGGTGGTGGGTACTACTGTGATTCCCCCGAAAATAAGACATTGTCTTATCCCCCCCCAAAAAAAAAAAAACACACTAGGTCTTATTTTCGGGGGATGTCTTATTTTATTTTTTAATGTGCAACAAAATGAAAAAAATACTGACACACAGTGTCACAGTACCTGCAGGCTGCAGCTGTCCTGGAGCTCTCCTCTCTGATGCCGCCCAGGGAGCCACCTCGTCGCACGGACCACCAGTCAGAAGTTCCCTCACCTGACCTCACTCCGACCCCACTGGCCATGCTGCGCTGTGCCGCTGCCTGCTGAGAAATCTAGTTTTCTGCCGCAGCTCTCTATGTACCGTAAAAGCCGAGGCAGACAGGTGTGCGGGCGAGCAGGAGCTGCGGCGGTCAGTCCCCGCCGTGTATGCATGAAATGTTTTGCGGTCCTTGACATGTTTTATACATGCAGACTTCAGAAGACCAGCTGCTCATAGAATTGAATGTTACTTTTGGACACCTGGCTGGCTGCTTGGGTGCAGCAATACATGTGCGTCCCCCTACCACCGAACTAGGTCTTATTTTTGGGGGAAACACAGTAGTATACAAAGCCACTGATCTGTATCTACGAACACTACCACCAATGTACAGAGACACCCCAGTGACCACCAATGTACAGAGACACCCCAGTGACCACCAATGTACAGAGACACCCCAGTGACCACCAATGTACAGAGACACCCCAGTGACCACCAATGTACAGAGGCACCCCAGTGACCACCAATGTACAGAGGCGCCCCACTGACCACTATTGTATAGAGGCGCCCCACTGACCACTATTGTAGAGGCGCCCCACTGACCACTATTGTAGAGGCGCCCCACTGACCACTATTGTAGAGGCGCCCCACTGACCACTATTGTAGAGGCGCCCCACTGACCACTATTGTAGAGGCGCCCCACTGACCACTATTGTAGAGGCGCCCCACTGACCACTATTGTAGAGGCGCCCCACTGACCACTATTGTAGAGGCGCCCCACTGACCACTATTGTAGAGGCGCCCCACTGGGCACTATTGTACAGTGGCATTCCACTGAGCACCAATGTATTTAAAGGGTTTCTCCCTAATAAAAAGGCTGAGGCAGGCTTGTATGGGGGCTATAGACAGATACTTGTATAGAGCTGGGAGGTTACAGCTGCCTTTTATACTATTATTTTACTCTCCCATTGAGCTATCGTTTCCTTTACTGGAAGTAGATGTGCAGAAGGGAGGAGGCCGCCAATGTTGCTCTGCGTACACTGCGAGGGAGGAGGCCGCCAATGTTGCTATGTGTAAACTGTGAGGGAGGAGGCCGCCACTGTTGCTATGTGTATACTGTGAGGGAGGAGGCCGCCAATGTTGCTATGTGTACACTGTGAGGGAGGAGGCCGCCGATGTTGCTATGTGCTGTACACTGTCAGGAAGGAGGAGCCCGTTCGAGGCTATAATCCTCTGACTAGAATCTCACTCACACACCAGCTGCAACCCGGTCCCGCGCACATATGAAAAGGGCTTTCCCGCCCCCAACTGACCAATAACAGCCTGCGATGAGCGGACCAATCGGCTTTTGTAACCATGGCAGCGAGCTTCCGCGTTCCACGGCGGAGCCCGGGTTTCCGGAAGGGACTGGAGGCGACATGTCCATCAGTGTGCTGCTGAGCTCCGGCTGCCTGGTCAGGACGGGGCACACGCTGCTCACCTGGGGGGTGATACTAGTGCTGTTTTTGCACGACACTGGCAAGTATCCGGCGGGGCCGACAATGCCAGGGACATGGTGTACTATAAAGGAGAACAGTACTGAGAGATCTCTAGGAGTTCATCTGGGCAATTAATTATCAAGAGACAAATTGTAATGTTTCCAGAGACAATGTCGCTGGAAAAGGTCAATTGTCAGCTGGATCAGCACACCCATGTACAGGGCTGACATGTAAACACATCAAGTTCTCCCTTACATCCAGCAGAGACCCCTTTATATCTAGGAGTACTCAGCAGAGTCCCACCTTACATCCAGTGGTGCCCATCTGTGTGTCCCCCACATCCAGGGGTGCCCAGCCAAGGCCTCCCTTACATCCAGTAGTGTGCATCAAGGTCCCCCTTACAAAAAGGAGTGCTCAGCAGAGATTTTCAGCACCCCCCCTTATATCCTGGAGTGCCCAGCAGCCCCCCACCCTTATATCCAAGAGTGCCGAGCAGAGTGGAAGCCGAGCAGGTCTGGGCAGAAGAAGTCTGTAAATGCTGGGGGTGGGGAATTCACATTGGTTGCTAGTACTCTGGTGTACTTGGCAACCAATCTCAGCATTGGGGGGCGGATCATGACAACAACTCATATTCTAGCTATCTTTTTTCCTTAATCTTGTGCCATTTAAAACATGAGAATAAACCAATCTCCACTTTCATTCCATACTGTATAGTAGTATCTGATGCCTGAACCGTGCTTGGCATGTCTATTTCAGATCTTTATCATCAGGAGACCCAGTGGATATACGTGAAGCCTCTCCTCTTCGTGGTAGCGGTCCTGTGTTCTGTGGGGCTGTATTTTGCCGTGTCGCTCATGGACCCGGGCTATGTGCTCTCTGACCGCGAGGAGAAGGTGATGGTTCCAGTCTGTCACAACAATGGACGTCTTGGTGAAAACTGAGCACTTGCAGAGTTCTTGGCAGGCTTCATTGAAGCTTTTGAGGCACCCTTCCGCTGCAGTTTCTGAATGTTAAACACAGATCTTAATGGGAGTGCCTTTGCCCATTAAACAAGCTGCTCGCTGGCTTCATAAAGCATCAGCAGAACTTGTAGTTTTTTTAAAAGCTTGCTGAAGCCCCATAGCAGCTTTTTTAAAGTGATAGCACTCAAATTGGGATTAACATACCCAAACTAGAGCTGATGGGTGCTTCAAAGCGAGGTAGCCAAGCTCTGGTCCTCCAACTGTGGTGGAACTACAAATCCCATGAGGCATTGCAACATTCTCACAGACATGACTCCCTGAGAGAGATGCATCATGGGATTTGTAGTTTCACCACAGCTGGAGGTCCAGAGCTTGGCTACCCCTGCTTTAAAGGCTTTAAAAAAAAGCTGCACCCAACGTTTCACAAATGCTTGCCAAAATGTGGTGTTCATGTTCACACTGCTTTTATGTAACCTGAAGGCTTTGTGAACTAGGCCTTATAGTAGTTTAACCATCACTGCCCTCTTGAGAGGTAATAAGCAGTGCCTTAGTTGGAAATGATCTCATTGAATAGGCCAAATCCTTCACTCCTCTAATAAGTAGGGAGAAGCAGAAACGTTCTGGACTTGTTCCATTGACAAGCAAGAATCCCAGCAGGTGCTGGCTGGCTCTCAACTTGTTGGACAACAGGCAGGCATATCCCTGCTTGTTAAGATATCTGCTGCCCTTACCCCTTAGCTACATTAACGCCTTCACGGGGCTGTTTTCTGTTTAAACTTGTAAATCCGACTGTCGGCTTTACAGTAGAAGCGATTCTGGCGGCTCAGCTGCCGCCAGATCGCTTCTACGGGCCAGTGAACAGGTTGCCCCCTACCGTGTTTACCGGGCTCCTACGGGCCTGGGACCGGCTTGTTTGGTGTCGACGGGAAGCTAGGGAGGAGATGGACGAACCTCCATTCGCTGATCCCCTCCCCGTTCTATAGGACTGGGAGCGATGCAGATTGCATCACTTCCAGTCCCATAGCTGTCAGTGCTGAGCGTCTGAAGCCCAGCTATAAGCTATTGAAGTGCAATCTGCACTTCAATAGCTTATTGAGAATGTAAAGGTGACACTAGGGTTCTTTTGGACCCCCAGCATCACCTTAAAGAGTACCTGTCGCCACCATCTGCTATCACATGGGGGGCTTGTGAGCCCCCCCCCCCCATGTGATAGCAATTAAAGTTACAAAAAAAAACAAAAAAAATTTTTACCTGAAAATTTTTTAAAGTCCCCCGCGAGCACGCGCGTCTTCGCGTAAACACGCGTCGGGTGCGCCTACATATGAAAACGAGGAACGCGCTACACGTTGGGTATCGCCCCGCACGCCGGAGTGAGAGCAATAATTCTAGGGCCAGTATTTTTCGATATCTCTAAACTGATGACCTGCGGGAGCTTTTAAAGCGTTGTCTGTGGATTTTTAGGGGTACTGAATTTTGTCGCCGTTTCACGGACACACACAATTTTTAACCTGGGCATGTTGGATATCTATTCACTTGTAACCTCATCGTTCATATTTTATTTACAAAAAGGGTATTTTATTGTGTTCTGGGGCATTTAAGTGCATTTTTACTACATTTTGGGGTTTGATAAGGAGTTGCGTTAATATCGTGCAACATAAAAATTTGCAACTGCCGCTATTTTATTCTATAGGGTCTTGGCATTCAGAAAATATATAATGTTGGGGGGTTTTAAGTAATTTTCAGGCCTAAAATTTGGAATATAACATGGGTGCAAAAAAATGAAAAAAAGGCCCCAGTGAATTGATTGTATTTTGTTTTTCTCTTTAGACTTTTTCAGCTCCTGCTGAGCAGGAGACGAGTCCACTAACTTCCAGCACAGTCCGATCTAGGCGATGTGGATACTGCTTGCTAAAAGTATGTCTGTGAGTAATACATTCCTCTAGCATTGCATGCATATTTCTGTACAGATAAGGCCAGAATTTCATGGATGTACAGCGCTGCATGACGGAATAAATGTCAGTTAAAGTACCGCAGCGCTGAATACTGAAAAATGGCCTGGATGGGAAGGGGGTTTAACACCGCGGATGTCAACTGGTTAACACTGTTTCTTATGGATTTCTGACAGCTGGGATTCCAATGTGCTTAGATAATCTTAAGGCATACCGTATTTGCCGGCGTATAAGACGACTCGGCGTATAAGACGACCCCCTACTTTTTGTTTTAAAATATAGGTTTTGGGCTATACTCGTCGTATAAGACGAGTATAGCCCAAAATAATGTGTAAATGCACCCACTAACCTCCATGGCGGTATTCCCGAGTGTGGCTCGGGGTTCATTTTCAGTACCATAAGCAGTAACCGCGAGCCACACTCGGGATTACAGTCTCTTGTCCACGATCCCCGCTGTGTCCTCCGTCTTCCGCTAAGTCAATCACCGCAGGCTTTGTATTAATGAATGCAGGCTTTGTATTCATTAATACAAAGCCTGCCGTGATTGGCTCAGTGTGGTATACTGTATGTAGCCGTATCCTTCTGTATGTACCCGGCGTATAAGACGACCCCCGATTTTTGGGGGATGTTTTAAGGTTTCAAAACCCGTCTTATACGCCGACAAATACGGTACATATTTTTTAAGTAAATGTTTTTCTACTATCAACCAGAATATAGGAAGCACCCTTATTCTGATGAACAGCTCAATCTTCTAATTTATAACTGTATAGTAGGAGGCTGATGGCTTGTTTAGGTACATTTGGCTGATGGCCTGTTTAGGTACATTTGGCTGATGGCCTGTTTAGGTACATTTGGCTGATGGCTTGTTTAGGTACATTTTGCTGATGGCCTGTTTAGGTACATTTGGCTGATGGCCTGTTTAGGTACATTTGGCTGATGGCCTGTTTAGGTACATTTGGCTGATGGCCTGTTTAGGTACATTGCAGAGTTTCTATGGTCAGATGGAAAGTGCAACAGAGTCCTCCATCTACACTAAACTGTGTGGATGGAGGAATCTCCCACTGGGCCAAGCTTCAGTATCTTGCTAGTCGGCCCCCGGTGGTTTTCAAAATACCTGAACAATCTGATTGGATGCCGGCATTGTTCAGGTATTTTGAGAGCCAGCGGGGCAAACTAACAAGATAGTGAAGCTTGGCCCAGGTGGAGATTCCTCCATACACACACAGTTTAGCATAGATGGAGGAATCTGTTGTGCTTTTTCCATCTGACCACAGAAAATCTGCAGATAATCTATACGTGTATGGCCAGCTTAAAGACCGGACATTGTTACCAGGCTGCAGTTTCTGTGGTCAATGGTCATGCATTTGCATGTGCTGAGAAGAAACGCGATGACAGGATAAGAGAGCAAAGAGATGATTTTTAACCAGTCTGTTGCGGCTCCTTCATTGTCTATTTGAAGGCTGGGGGCCAAGCTGTGTTGCTATACTGCAGCATAATAAAACCAGGGCACACAGCTATCTGTGCAGTGTGGTAGGGTTGTGTTACATTTTGAATGGGATGGACAGAACAAAAACACTTTATTCCTGTTCTCTTACAGCAGCCAATGAGGGCCAGACATTGTAAATCGTGTAATCATTGTGTGAGACGGTTTGACCACCATTGTCCCTGGATTGAAAACTGTGTTGGAGAGAAGAACCACCGAGTCTTTATGTTGTATCTGACTGTCCAACTTGTGGTTCTCCTATGGGCCTTCCGCTTAGCTTGGTGAGTAGATATTCCTGTTACTGACCTGTACTGAGAGTAGTATGTAGGCTGCTGTTGCTGGTCTCTTCTCCTTATTGAAGTTGGAGGGGGAGCTGTAACAGGAATAGGTTTGAGTTTAAAGTTTACCAAAACCTTTACATTAAATTTAAAAAAAAACCCTAACCTTTCCACTTAAATATCCAGCATCTGACCCCAGACACTTCTGTTATCGGGGTGACAACCCCATTTCTATGATCTCTATGCTGAGGCAAAGTTGTCCCTCTGAAAGCATGCTCCCACTGCATAGCTCAGGGTGTCAGCACATTCAGCATATTAGAGCAGCATGCCAAAGGGATGACTTGTTCCTGTGCACAGTCCACACCTGACGATGGACACTAGCTATTTACTACTGTAGTATGTGCACCCAGGGCCGGTGGGTGCACATCCCCCCACACTTTTTAAATTTTTATTTATTTTTTTACTTTTTAAAATTTTTATTTATCTGATTCTCTTTCATTTTTTTTTATTTGTTATCATTTTTTTCTAATTATTTGTTAATTTCTTTATTTTTAAATCTTACTATTTAATCATTTTTATCATTGTATTATTTTTTACTTATTTTTTCATAAATGTTTGTTTATTTTATAATTTTTTATCAATTTTTTTTTTTATTATTAAATTTTTTTCTTTTTTTTTTTCCACTTAACTTTATCGCTATCACACAAGAGCTAGCTAACAAGCCCTTGTGTGATAGCATTTGGAGGTGACAGGTTCTCTTTATTGAGCCTGTCACCTCCTATACAGGAGTTCTAGCACAGCACTGTGCTACAACTCCCGTGACAGCTGAGAGGAAGGGCTGCGAGTGCAGCTCTCCTCTCACTGTCTACTCGATCTGGCGTGAAAGGTAGCCGGCGGGGGAGGGGGGCGGGAACATACCTGCTGCTCCTCTGCTCAGAGAGGCGGCTCTGATCACACCTGTCAGCGCTCCCTCTCTCTCCTCCTGGCCGCTCTGAAGCTGCAGCGGCAGGAGAGAGAGGGAGCACTGACAGGTGTGATCAGAGCCGCCGTGGCCATCTTGCGGCCGGGTGTTGGCAACATGTTGGCAACAAGGCAACATGTTGTTCGTTACATTAGGCCCTGAGCCTAAGCAATGTTTCTGTAGAGGGTTTATTTTACACGTTACTAATGTAGTTTTCCTGGCACAGGTCCGGTTTCCACTTTGAAGCCACTTGGATTGACTGGCTGCGGCTTAATGTCTTCTTGCTCCTGGCTTTTATCCTGGTCGGCATTTTCACAGCAGTGGTGGGCCTGTTACTTGCGTGTCACCTCTACCTGATATCCTGCAATTTCACTACATGGGAGTTCATGTCCTACTATCGCATCTCCTACTTGAAGCAGCGGGACTCGGACTCCAACCCTTTTGACAGGGGAACCGTGAGGAATTTGTGGAACTTCTTTTGCACTGGTGGTCATGTGATCTGGGAGCGGGTGTATTTGAGGAACACCTATGACGCAGTATGAAACACCTGCTGGCCTGTGACCCTCGACACTAGACACATTTGGCCTACTGTTTGCTAAGGGAACAAAGGGATCCTACCTCATGTCTGTATTTTTACAGCACATTTTTATCTTACAGGGAATGTCAGTGACACTGAACGCTTCACTTTTACCTTCAGAACAGTACGCATTCTGCAGTATATATTGTTCATTTTATATGTCTGTGCCAGCTGGGATTGCAGATTGTGTGTGTTGCTGCACATCCTCAAGCCGAGCTGGAAAAAGCTTCCCCAGTCAGTGTCAGTTCTCCGGCCGCGCCGCTAGATGGCGCTGCAGCACCGGCAGCCGAGGAGGATCAAAGAGAGGGGAGTTGAATGCTGGCTTGACCACCAAAGAGTCCCACTGGCCACCACAGAGCCCACACTGGCCACCACAGAGCCCCCACTGTTGAGGGAGTCCCCAAGTGCCTTGTGCTGCTCTAGGTAAGAGGCTCCTCAGCCTACACCTAGCGCAGCAGTGTCAGTACTCCTAGATGGCGCTGCAGCGGCCGGAGAGGATCAGAGAGAGGGGAGCAGGCAGGAGTGAGGGGAGGTGAGTGCTTGATCCGCACAGAGCCCGCACTGGGCACCACAGAGCCCGCACTGGATGCCGCCAGAGAGCCCCACTAGCCACCTGAGAGCCCGCATAGCCTCCTGAGAGCCCACACAGATACTAGTATTGGTGCATTCCTAAATTTTACCATTGGGGGTCACCACAACCAGGCAAATGTTACCAAGGGGTACCAGTCCTAGAAAGGTTGAGAACCACTGTAATAGACCAATCTCGGGGCAAGGACTCAATTTTTCCGGAGTGATTTGTATTGTGTTTCCCTGATAAATCTAATGCCAGGTTTCTCTGCTCATGTATAATTCTGCAAACTGGCTGAAGTGATTACATGTTTATACCTTAATAATGTTTCTATCACATGATAGAATGGCAGTCGGATATTCCTCTAGCACTGAGTTGGATTTTTAAATAAAAAGTTAGTGAGTTAGGACTCAGAACACGTGTTACATGTTCAGACAGGTCATATACCTACATTTTGTTTAATGACCTTAGTCCTGCTTTAAGCACCTCCTGGCAGTTTAATGGTTTGTTCCAACTCCCATTGCTCTACGTTTTAATAGACAACCTGGCTGGCCATACAGTGTGTAGAATAATATCAATGAGTGCATGTGAAAGAATTTACTGTCGGGGTTTGGCTATGCGCGGGATTTTTATTGCCTGCAAGTTATCATGGAATCACTCATAATAAATCCTTATTCATTATTTTATAATCCAGTAAAATGAGCAAATCCACAATCCCATTGCTACTTCCTGGTTTACTTTTCTGCTTTCTAGACAACCTTCCTGCTAAGCTGTCATAGGGGATAATGAATACTCAACATCCACTGAGCTGGCTACAGATGGAGAGGTGACCTAGCAAGTTGTATTGTTGAACCAGGAAACACGTTTAACTTTGTGACTCAGGGCTAGTTCACACCAAGCGCCTTGCTTGTCACAACCTGGGAGGCTTAGGACATCTTGTGGAGAAAAAGAAGTACTGTGGAGAGCTGCCTTTGTAACCTGCCCTTAAAAAACGAAAATCAATGCTTTGCATGTTATGTATCAGTTGTTCTGGGTCCCCCTGTAATACACCTACGTCTATTCCCGGCACCTATGAGAAGTCAAGATTAAAAACAGAGTGTGGTGGTGATGTGGACAGTCACCTTCAATATGCTCAGGCTTAAAGGAGAACTATGAGGCGAGTGCTTTTCCCTCACCTCATAGTTCTAGCCGACCTGTGACAATGAGACTGGGGTGGGTACAGCTGGCTCTGCCTCTAGATAAGCAGAGCCAGCTGTCACTCACGCAGCTGGGCAGATCCAGACATAATTGTCGGGATCCACTTCAGCTGCGGCGTCTCAGTGTACCGCTAGCAGTAGCTACAGCTCGCAGTATACTGAGCTTAGGGTGACGGGAGGGCGCTAGTTTGTGTCATCCCGTTACCCTGAGAACTATGGGGAAAAACCTTAACCCCATAGTTCTCCTTTTAATATATGTGAAGAACTGCTCATTGCCTAAATTTCCTAATGTTTTTTTACTCTCTGTCCATGCCTTGGGATTTCAGTGTCATCACTTAGTGGGGCCAAGCATCCTGATAGCAGAAAGAGGAAGAACAAACTATAGTGCTGCCAGCTTGCAAAAAAGGGAGTACAGCTGGAAAGTCTAAAGAGGGGTTTGCTACACTTTTCTGGACATAATTGAGGCATTTTGTAGAACGGCAGAAAAAAAAAACCATACACTTTCTTTTAGGCCTCATTCACACGGGAATCGGCCGGTACAGCTCTGTGCTGCGTGCACGGCCGTATTGGGCAGTTCCCGGGAAGGACAGGTGCTGTGTGTGATTAGTACGCAGCCCCCGTCCTTTTCTATGGGAGTACATCGCCCTACGCTCACCTCAAGTGCAGGTCCGTACTGGTGGGTGTGTCCCGGCTCAGACGCAGACAACATCCATCCTTTCACCGTACGAGTGCGGACACCCGCACGGAGGTGCAGGGCGGGTGAGCGTATGACCGCGTAATCCCACAGAGAAGAACGGGGGCTGCGTACTAATCACACACAGCACCTGTCCTTCCCGGGAGCTGCCCGATACGGCAGTACAGAGCTGTACGTGCCGGCCGATTCCCATGTGAATGAGCCCTTAGGTGGGGGGTTTTACGTCATTTTCAGGCCTAAAATGTGGAATATAACATGGGTGCAAAAAATGAAAAAAGGGCCTCAGTCATGAAGGGGTTAATGAGCTTCAAGCATATCTAAACCCCTCCTGGTGGTCTAACCTGTGGTCCTTTATGCTACTTGTGAGGCCCTTGGACACCAGCAGTCTGTAGTGGGAGTGAGGGCATTTATTGGAAAGGGGTGGTAGCAGTGATCTCCACTAGCTTCATGTAACATGTCTCCAGTTTCTCACAATCTTCTGCAGTCTCCAACCAAACCTTTATGATCCCAGTCTCTGATCATCATTGCCTCTAGTATGCCTGCAGTTTATGACAGTCCTCTCTAGCATTATATATACTGAACATTAAGTGAGGCCCTTTGGTGATGTCAGGGGCCAAAAGTTGAGGCCCCCTATAAGAACGAAAATCTTAAGGCTGTGACACCCTGCACGCGGAGCGACGTCTGGCTGGTTGTCATGCACGTGCCGATTGGCTGAAGGTGCAGTCAATCACATGCCTGCACTCAGCTCACACACTGCACGCAAAGCTCTGTGCCGGACAGCTTTGCTTCGCTCTGCACGGCTTTGCGTGCAGTGTGTCACGGGCTTCATGCATTGCAGCTTACTAGTTGTGGTGGCACTAAAGGGAAATCTCAAACAATGTTATCAGCTTTGCTAGCTATCTTCTGCTGACTACCAGACACCTTTCCTCTATGTCAGTGGTTCTCAACCTTTCTAGGACTGGGACCCCTTGGTAACATTTGCCAAGTTTTGGTGACCCCCCAACCGTAAAATTTAGGGATGCACCAATACCTGTATCTGTGTGGGCTCTCAGGTGGCAAGTGGGACTCTCTGTTGGCATCCAGTGCGGGCTCTGTGGGGATCAAGCACTCACCTCCCCGCTCCCCTCTCTCTGATCCTCTCTGGCCGCTGCTGCGCCATCTAGGAGAACTGACACTGCTGCGCTAGGAGGAGGCTGACCTAGAGCCGCACAAGGCACGTGGGGACTCCCTCAACAGTGGGTTGCGACCCACTTTCGGGTCACGACCCACAGGTTGAGAACCACTATTCTATGTAAAAGGGAAAGAAGGTGTTCTCGAGTCCTAAAATACTTCCTGTCATAGGGTGACAACTCTGCCCATTCATGAATACAGCACAGTGAGTTTTTCTTCATCCACAATGCAAATGGAGCCCAAAAACATTCACAATAGGGATTTTTTGTGGTGCAGATGCATTACCAACAAACAAAACTGCATGATGCATGCGTTTTTATGTGTGTACTATTCATTGGGCCAACTTCATGAAAATAGATGGACAACAAAGAATCATATGCTATTATTTAATGATTTCTTTTTAAATGGGCGAATCAACACAGGATAAGCAATGGTTAAAAATGCATACACTTTTACTGCAGGAAAGTGGACAAGTTCTCTGCTGCTGTGTACATGACCTAATATGCTTTCAGTAGTATATACAGAAATGATCAGTTACATGTTATTTTTCGCTTCTTTCAACACTTTTCTTTTTTTTTAATTAATTTCCTTCATAGAATTCTAGTCTGTAATTAGTCAACAATAGATTACTATAGCAGTGATTTCCTGCTGCAGGGGGAGGCAATGCAGAACTGAATCAGCTCTGCCCCAGCCCTGGAAATGACAGAAGGTGCTGTTTAATGTCACATCATCACCATCATCTTGTGCTACGGAGAGCATCTAAGGAGCAATTTTTAGACTAACATTGCACTTACGATCAGACACTCCTGAAAAAGTGACAGTCAGATCCGATCAGAACACTGTTGGAAAGGGGCCTAACTGAACAAGCTGACAATAGAAGCTGATTGGTTGCCATTAGGGTTGCACAGATACCAAGTACAGTACTCGGTACAAGTACGAGTACAAGTACCGATACTTTTAAGCTCCAAGACTACACTAGAGAAAAATTCAAAAGTTAGGAGGCCGCTGTCATTTGTAAGGGGCACACGGAGCTCCTGGGATTTGTACATCTCTGTTTTCATGTATGATTTTGTTTTTATAAATATAAATAAAGGGATGCACCGATACCAGTTTTGCGAGTACTGGTACTTGCCGAGTACTTACAAGTACAAGTAGCGATACATTTTTGTTTATTGTCATTTGACAGCTTTTCTAAAACAATACATACTAATGATTTCAGGACAGTGGTGGAGCGCCAGAGCCAGGTCCCAGCTGCAACCCTGGTAGTTCTCATAAAAATGCGAAGTATCTGAACTGGTACTCGAAAAGTATCTGTGCATCCCTAGTTGCCTACACAGTTTCCAGTTTTACTAAATTTACCCCATTTTGTTACTTTAAATAGCAATTGAGGTTCTGCGTGCAAAATGAGAAAACAAAAATAAATGTTTCCATTAAGTAGTGTGGCAATGCCACGCAGTATGCTAGCAAGTGCAACACGGTCACCCAGGACTCTCAGCCAAGAGAGGGGCCGAGAGGTTACAGAATGCAAATAGTTCTGCAGGGAAGAAGCCGGCCTTTCAGTTTCTTCCAGTTTTTCTGGATTGTAGCTGGGATCTGGATCTCTGGAGATTTCTAAGATTTCAGGGTGGGATAAAATCTCCAGTCCTGGGGTCAGGTGTTGCCAGTCATCAGGTGGCTGAGAGCAGCCTCATTGAGAGTTGGTGTGGTGTGGGCTGCAGGCACATGAGGGCTCCTGCTGGGAAGAGGGACAGGTTGTGTCAAGCAGACTCAACTCAGAAGCCAGAGTGGCTGAGTGTGAATTTGCTGGAGGCACCTGGGAATCAGCCAAGGAGGCTTAATGAGCCTGGGACACACAAGGGATGTGTGGAAGAGTCACATGCAGTATATGTGACCATGCTGAGTTGGTGAGACATGGTTATACTGTTATTGACTACATGCTATTTTGCTGACGAAAAGCTGCTTTCTGTTCTGGAAGCAATAAAATACTTTTGTTTTATGCTAACGTGGTTTTCGAGACTGGTCTTTGAGAGCTCACCATTTGTGCTAAATTCCCCAAACATCACAGTAGCTATGGACTTATTCTTGCAAGAAGTAAAGGAGTATAGTAGCCATTGGCAACCAATCAAGGCACCATTTTGTACTAGTTTGGCTACAGAAATTCTGATTGGTCATTATGGGTCGGAATCCATTACTCCTTTTTTCTTTAAGCAGCAAAGTGTCCCTGGAAGATGTTCCTCAAGTCGGTGAGGTGTCTCATAGATATATTTAGTAGTAATAGTTGCAGCACTGGTTCCTGTGCACTTTGTTCACCTCACAGTGACTGGTTTTGAGCAGTTTTCTGATATGAGGTGCAGAAAGTCTGACTCACCTTTCTGTGCACTTGGCCTGTAGGTGTGGGAGGGCAGGAGGTACCAGACTGTGCGTCCTCTTCGGAATTCCAGGAATCTTAGCACTAGAAGGCGGAAGAGGAGGTAAAATTAGTAAACACATTAACTTTTCTCCGGAGCAAAGTCCAAGGGAGATGTTTGTCCACCTCCTCCTGGACAAAGAGAGTAATGAACACACTTTGCACCAGTGATCCAAGTAGGCAGACTTTTTAGAAGTTGAATAGGAGAGTAGAGTATAAAAATGATATAATACGGACCTTGCACTATAAGCATGGTTCTTATTTACTCAGGACCCATTCCTGTATTCCATATGCCTAATTGCTGCACTAAGATTAAAGGGTTATTAAACCCTCAGCTGTTTTTGCATATATGTACGACTAGCAAGCAGTAGATATATGCAAAAAAGTTTTTTTATAAACGCTTTAAAAGAGGTTAAAACTTACCTGTGTCTTCGCCACGCACTCCCGTCCGAAAATCTAGGGCGGCCGCAAAGGATCTTGGGGCAGGCGAATGCGCAGTTCAGATTTTCAGCTGGGAGAGGAGGAGAGACACAAGGTAAGACTATGGGCAGCGTGCACCCGCATGCAGACACCATGTGACAGGAAGTGCCAGCAAGGACAGCGGAGTCGGCGCTGGATCGGAGACCAGCAGCAGCGCTGGAGGGACAGCTAAAAGCTACAGGAAAGAAGATCGGATTAAGAGACATCATTTCAGGTAAGTGCTTTCACTAACATTGGGGGGAGGGGAATTTTTTTTAGACTTTAATGTCACTTTAATAAAATGAAAAAAAGTTAGTAAATATACTTATGTTATTCCCAGTTCCCTGCTGCAGGGGGTGACGTCACCATCCTGATCCCAAATCATGTGGAGTAGCCCAGATCATGTGAGCACAGTGTAGGATTGTCTTTGAGAGGTTTGGGCTACTCAGCAGAAGCCGGGTTTGAGGTAAGTATATATGCTGTTCCCAACCCTAGCAGGACCTTGACTGGGAAAAGTAAGAACTAGGAGCCAGTCCGGCTCTGCTACAGTGTAATCAAACTAACACTAAGAGCTTGCTGACAGTAAGAGAAAGCAGTGTGCTGCTGCCTTTTCAACATCCAATCAGAAAGCTGGGGGAATGCCCAGGACCAAGCTGCACTACTTAGCAGTAGCGGAGGTTCATGACCTGATTGTGCTGCCTGGCATGGGTGGCCAGATAATACAATTAGCTGCACAGAATTACAAATCTCCTTGCTGAGTGACAGAACTGACAGGACAAATATACAGACCCCCCAATATGAGCCCCTCCAACAAGTACAACTCACTCAGCTCCTGATCATCTCTCTTGCTTCCCCTGGACTTAATGCAAACCCATCATAAGAGTTCAATGACTGAGCTCAGGAGATCAGAGCCAGAAAGGAGGAGAGATGATCAGCTGCAGTCAGTGTGTGTTGTACCTACTGGAGGCGTGCAGGTTGGAGGATCTGCATGCATTCAGCTCCCTTAGAGAATCTCCATGTGCTGTTCTCATGGAAACCCGTGCTATCTTCTTGGAAGGACCCCTAGGGCTGTCCTACGTTATGCCTGTTTCCAAACAAGAGAAAATCCAATCTCTATGCGGCTTCTCTGGTGACAGGCACAAGTCAGGGCTGCCTATGGACGGGAGGAAGTCACAGCCATCCAGAGAACATGTGGACATGGTGTGTTTTCAATGGGGCTCGGCGTATGAGTCAGGCAGTAGTTCAGAGTCACAGCAGAGAAAAGGTCTTCATGGTGAGTTAATGAACTGCTATCAGGGCTACAGTATATGTGGCAGCTTTTCTCGGGGGGACGGTATACAATGTGCTTGTTTCATAATGATTGACCTCTGTGCGCAGTCCTCTCCCTTCTCTTACAGGGCAGCCCTATGAACAGCAAGCTATAGAGGAGAAACATTTAACCCTTCAGTCTCCGGCGAGTGTCACGTGACTGTACAGATGCAGCGTAACTGCCTCTCTACAGTCACATGACCCCCTGCCAGATGACACAAAGTATACTGGCGAAGGAGACACCCCAACACCACCCCCCCCCGTCTATACGGACCACGAATAATTGAACTCTGGGAATTACACATAGGCTACCCTTGCAGTGCCCCCCCTTTCCCTTTAAAGTGACATTAAAGTCAAACTTTTTTTTCCCCCTTCCCAATCCTGCTGTAGGGACTTACCTTAAATTATGCCTCTTAATCCGATCTTCTTCTTCTTTACTGTTCTTTTCTGCTGCGCTGGGTGCAGGTCTCCGATCCAGCGCTGACTCCTCTGTCCTCTTCTCTGATGTCCCACGTTTATCTGTGCGGGTGCAAGCTGCTCCATAGACTTACCTTGTGTCTCTGCTTGTCTCCCAGCCAAACATCTGAACTGCGCATGTGCCCGCCCCAAGATCTTTTGCGGCGCCTGAAAAATTTTCAGATGTTCGGACGGGAGCGCGCGGCGGAGACAGCGATACGTTTAACCCTTTGAAAAAGGTAGTGAAATAAGCTGTAAAGCGCTGCGCAAACTGTTGGCGCGATGTAAATCCTGTATAATAATCTAATAATTGCAGAGATGTAAATTTTCCCAGAGCCTGATAAAAAATTCCAGTATTGCCGGGTGATTTCCAGCTACCTCCTTTTGTCTAAACCCAATATGTCTACTGAGTCCCCCTATCAACTGCTGAAGTAAATGGTATTTTATTGTGTGACAGCCAATGGTTGCAAACATGCTAAATTGACAGGGATTGCCATAACTAAGCAGAAATCTTCAAAACACGGAAACGGGCAACGTTTTTAAAAATGCGATCAAAGAAATGGAATGAAAAAATAGATTAGCATCACTTGGCTAATGCTTAGTATTGTCTGACGTACATAAAGAGATGTAACTTGGGCATTTTCTTCCTATGTAGGTGGTTGGTTTGGGTAACCATGGCATGTCGGGTACCAGACACAATGTTGGAATGGCAGCTATTAATCTGCTGGCACGGAGACTGAAAGTAGCTGATCAGTGGAAAACAGACAAGAGGACTGGATCCGATTTCATCACCACCAAACACCGTGGAATGCAGCTGGTGTTACTCAAACCGCGTCAGTTTATGAATATTAATGGAATAAGCGTGGCTCCTGCTGGTAGGACATTTGCTAGGTATTGCTTGTTTACTCTGTAGATAATGTCATTGTTAACCACTTGCTGTCCGGGGGATTGTCTTACTATTTGCGCACACATGAAAACAGCTTCAGACCCCCAAACAATGATATATGTTCTGAAATCAGAGGCCCTGTAGAATAAAAAAAATGCTAGTTGCATTTTTTTTAATATCGCACGGTTTTTGCGCAAATGTTTATCAAACCAGTATTTTTAGGAAAAAATAAACCAAATTAAAATTTAGTGCACAGAAACATAATATAATACCCAATTTTTTTGGTGAAATATGAAAGACGGGGTCACGCCGGGTAAATAGATACCAAACATGTCAAGCCTTAACATTGCGTTCGCCAGTGAAGCCGCAAAAAAAGTCAATACCCCAAATTTCCCATAGGGAACATTTAATTGCTTTTACCGCTCATCAGTTTAGTAACAATGTGTAAACAAGAAAGCGCCAAGGACAATCGCTCCGCAGAGAGATATGGTGGTGGGCATGCTGCAGGATGCTGCCCACTACAGCCAGGGGGACTGTGGAGTCTGGAGAGAAAGCAAAGGAGAGGGCGCCTTTCCTGGAGCAGATACATTTTATTCAAATGGTCATAACAATGTAAAAGGTACTCCCAAACATGATTTGATAAAAGCCATAAGATGGAGGGTGAATGGCAGGCAAATGGACATCAACAAAGCAGTTCCTATGTGCGATCAAGGAGATCGGCGTTGGCGCGTTTCCGGGGCACGCCCCCTTGTTCAGCACATGACTTTTACCTTTTACATTGTTATGACCATTTGAATAAAATGTATCTGCACCAGGAAAGGCGCCCTCTCCTTTGCTTTCTCTCCAGGCTCATCAGTTTAGTGCTAACAGTGATTGGCAGCGCTGGAATTATTGCTCTCACTCTGACTTTGCGGCGATATTTAACATGTGTAGCGCAATTGTCATTTTCGCACGTAGGCGCACCGACGCGTGTTTGCGTGTGTATGTGCGTGCACGTGGGGGGCGGGGGACTTAAAATGGGGGTTTTGTTGCATTTTTTTTTTCTTTTCTTATATGTTACTTTCATTTTTATAACTTTTAAACACTTTTTTTTTTGTTTTACACAAACCCTATTGCTATTACATAGGGGGCTAACAAATAATAATAATAGCAGGGTGTGACAGGTCCTCTTTATGGAGAGGTCTTTCAGACCCCTAATGTCATCTAGGGACCCCAAAGAAGCTGAGGAAGCAGAGATACGGGTTTATTTTTTTTTTTTCATCCAGCCTGCGGGCTGAACAAAAAAAAAAAGAACAGATCCCTCCATCAACAGTTATGAACACGCACCCAACCCCTGTGTTTTTATTCAACCTTACCTACTATGTTACTAATCCCCCATTGTTTCCTTTGTATTCTGACAAAGGATGCCGGCCGCTGTCAGGATACCGGTACATCTGATTGGCTGCATTTGGCCGACAATTTTCCAACCTGCTCCTTTAATCAGCTTATTGAGGGATGCTGGGCGGAAGGGTGCCAATAGACACCCATGGTGCTAATTTTGGCCAGTTCATCAGGAACCAGCCAAAATTCGATACATGTATACCCGGCATTAGTTGGAGTCATAACTTCAGTTTTTGATTTAACTACAGGCAAGGGCAGCACGGTGGCGTAGTGGTTAACGCTTCTGCCTTGCAGCACTGGGGGTCCCCTGTTCGAATCCCGGCCAGGTCACTATCTGCAAGGAGTTTGCATGTTCTCCCTGTGCTTGCATGGGTTTCCTCCGGGTACTCCGGTTTCCTCCCACACTCCAAAGACATGCTGGTAGGTTAATTGGCTCCTCTCTAAGTTGGCCCTCTATGTATGCATGTGAGATATGGACCTTAAATTGTAAGCTGCTTGAGGGTAGGGACTGATGTGAATGTGCAACTATTTAAAGTGCTGCGTAAAATGTGGGCGCTATATAAATACCTGAAAATAAATAGGTTTGGTCGCTAATGCTTTTTTTTCAAGTGTTCTGTGGACTCGACAGCACTCTTCAAAACAGTAGAGCTCTGCCTGGCTTAGATGCCCCATACACTCCAAGCTGAGTGCTGCTATGGTAGGAAGCTACAGTAATATATACACAGGGATTCATACAAGCTGTATTTATGAATACATTGAATACTGTACATAACTGGATAAAGGTTTACATTTTAAACGTGTTCTGCTTTTTTGATAAAGAAATTGGACCTAAAGGGCCATAATACTAAAATACAGTAATCATTTTTTTAAAGATAAAACTGGCTGTGGAATTGAAAACACCCATGTGACCTCAATATTACTAGATCAACTCTTTTAGTAACATTATTTTCCTTCTCTAGCTGAAAAGTTTCATCTCACCCCTGAGAATATCTATCTGCTGCATGATGAGCTGAGCAAGCCTCTCGGGAAGGTGTCTCTAAAGTTTGGTGGGAGCGCAAAGTAAGTGGACAACAAAGAAAAACAGAGCAGTTGTGTGACATTAACAATAGATAAATTAGAACCTCTTCCAAAATTTAAAACATAGTTTTTGAGTGGAAGGTGATGGGTGTGTAACAGGGCCGGTGCAAGGATTTTTCCTACACAGGCGAAGGTGCATTTTTGCGCCCCAGAGCCCTCAGATGGCTGCCTATGCAGCCTTACGCTAGTGCCGGCCCTGACCACATTGCTCAGTCTACCCCAAAACCTGAACGCATTTCCTCACTAGAAGCAGGAGGGTCTAATTAAGTGGTCAAGTGTGTGCGCTTGTGTGAAAAACACTCATCCCCATAAAAGGTGCCCATACACCTGCCGATTATCGTACGATAATCGCGGGTGATTCCGCGATCGTACGATAATCGTCAGGTGTATGGAAGGCGTGCGACCGTTTCTACTGTACGGTCGCACGTCTTTTGTCTTCCGAGCACGCTCGAGAATCGTTTGATTTTTGCCGGTTAGTGGCGTGCTCGGAAGACAAATGCCGAACGGGCCGGTGTGCGCAAGCGCACACTGTCCGCTCAGCATTGGTTTCATCGGAAGCCCTCCCCTCGGCGGGGAGGGCTTGCGATGGTCGCAAGTACGATCTGCCTGTCCAAGATGGGCAGATCGTACAGGATTTTAATTACCTTACAACCATCGCACAACGAAAGTCGTGCGATGGTTGTAAGGTGTATGGCCAGCCTAATTCAAGCCAGCCTGTGACAATGAAGCTGTCACAGGTCGGCTCTGTTGTTCGGGAAGTCAGAGAACACACACCGCTGACTTCCCGATCCTCATCCTGCAGAGAGCAGCTGACAACAGCTATTAACAGAAATTCTGGCCGGCTCCCCCTTATTCTCCTGCAATTAGAATCTGTGCATGTATGGCTGCCACTAGTACACTATGACACCCTCGCCAAGATCTTTTATATTGATTGGAAGACAGTGTCAATGTCTTCCCTTCCTTTTCTGTAGTTTTTATCTTATGATCATTTGTATTTTGTTTTGTTTTTTACATTTCAGGGGCCACAATGGTGTTCGTTCCTGCATTGACTATCTGAAGTCAGATGTAAGTTTTCCATTCATAATGCCTTTTGCCCAGTGTTTTGTATAGTACTGTAAGGCCAAGTCCATTGCTTAAAAAAGGAACTGAATGCTAGTAGTTACGCCCAAACAAAAAATGCATTCAGAAGGCAAAGGACTAATCACCAGTATTGCGTGTGGTCTCCTTGCAGCTGTTCTTTCTTCCCATTACTAATTTATCTTCTACACAGTGTCTTTGTGTGGAAGCAGCCATCTTGGTAGAGGCAGTTACTCAGGTCAGATATCACCAAATCTTCTGGGGCTAGCAGTAAGTGACAGATATGCAGCTATGAGGCTGTTGGCTTAGGTATGCCTAGGCACCATTACATGCCAGGAAGTGAACTGCTGTTTTGAAAGAGGAATTTGAGGCCAGATAATTTTTTTTGGGAGTACTGGTGGCTTTGTAAGTGGTTGTTAATAAGGATGCACCGATATATCGGCCACCGAAACATATCGGCCGAAAATGGCACTTTTGGCATAATGCCATATTCCTGCCGATACATCGGCGCTGCTCTGTGTCCCATGGGGAGGAGAGAAAGTGACAGCCGGCAGAGCGCTATGAGCGGCCAGCGTCTCCTCCCACACCGCTCTGCCGCCTATCACAGTCCAGCAGAGTGGTGTGGGGGCGGAGACAGCCAGCGCTGTCACAGGAGGCTGAGCTCTCCTCCCTGCACCGCTCGATCTGCCTCCTGTGACAGCGTGTCTGAGAGAAGAGCAAACACTCAGAGATCAGTGATCGCTGAGTGTTTGTAGATAATTGAGGATATGGTATGTTAACTATATCTTCAATTATGAATGAATGGAAGTTATCTACATCACCCCCATTCATTCATAATTGTAGTTCTAGTAAACAAACAATGTTCTCATGTTATCAATGAACAGGAAGACTCATAGAGAATTCCTGTTCATTGATAACAGGGGACACAGAAAAAGAGATTGAGGACTTTCTGTTCTCAATCCCTTTTTCTATTTTAAAAGGGAAATATCAGGGATCTGTTTAGACCCCCAATACTTCCCCCAAGCCCCTAAAAGTAAAGTAAAAAATGAATAAATAAAAAAAATTAAAATGTATAAAAAATAAATAAAATATTGAAAAAATAAAAAACTTTCGGTATCGGTTTCGGCCTCACTTTTTTTTTATTTCGGTTTTGTTTAGGTTTTAACATTTTTATTTCAGTGCACCTCTAGTTAATATTTAGAATTTTATCCCTTGGGTGACTGGAAGCCAGTGTAGGGATTGGCAGAGGGGGGTGGAGGATGGAAGCCAGTGGAGGGATTGGCAGAGGGGGGGTAGCTGACACTGAGCAGTTGGTTAGGTGTATGAGTCTAGTGGCAGTATTCATGATTAGGCACTATTAACATTTCTAGATGTTCTCTATTATACAGCAAATCTTCACTTTGAGTTCACGTCCACTTTAATGTGCGTTTGTTACAGACGATGACCAGGCTCTTGATCGGGATCGGACGTCCAGATGGCAATGAAAAGTCCTCAGTGACGGCATATGTGCTTGGGCGCTTCACACCGGCTGAGCAGGAGATGCTACCTCACGTTCTGGAGCAGGGTGTAGACTTGTTATTGTTACATATTAAGAATAGAACAGAGATGGACTCTACAGCAAATGCTAAGCCACTGAAAACCACATGACCTTGGTGAATTCTGATTGGGGGAAACTCCTAAAAAGTACAGTTTAAGCCTGTTTTATACAAACTAAAACAAATGCACAAAAACTAGATGGTATGCCGGACATGGATATTTATTGGGATTTTAGTGTTTCTTCAGCCAAGAAGGACCATGAAGGTTGGAAGAATTGATTGTGGCACATACTTATGATCTGTGCATTGCTGCTGGGAATGTTTTATAGAAAGATTAAATTGTTTATTTATCAATATGCACTAGAGGGGATTGTCTCATTACCAGCTTTTCTTTTTCTAAAGTGAATGTATCGGCGGAAGGGCAAATCTGATTGGTTGCTATATGCAACAAAGAATGTCTAGTTGGTGTGGTGGGAGGACAAAACAGTACCCGATCATTGAGCCTTAACCACACCCCTAGGATGACTCTTCCCCCCCCACTTAACCCTGATCCCACCCAAGCCATAATACTTAACATAACTCCAAAAATGAAACCTTAAAGTAACCCAGGCAATCCCATCAAAAGTACCTGTGCATTGCAGCCTTCTTTCTCCTTCACCATAACACCTTCCCCAGAAAGTTCTACAACAAATCTATTATCCCACACCTTCTGAACACCGCCAGATGTTGTATACCAGAGTTGTGGAAATCCGAAAGGTCTCCCACGGTGTCCATGTGGCTTCACAGGGTGAGTGAGGTGGAACAAATGGAAGACCTGGTCTCATTTGGTAAGGGCTCTTACACCAGACACTGGAGGACATGGGTCTCATGGACAGAATTTGTTCAAATTCCTGAATTCTCCACGATGCTACCGGATACCCAGGATTGAGTTCTGACATCACAGGACTAGATCTCCGTCCGTGTTTCTCCTTTTATCTTGCTAGTCTTCTCCCTTTCACTTCTTAAGTTCTTCTTCGTCTCCCTTGTTCCTATATTCCGATAATACTACACGTACTTAGATTGGAACTTGTGCTTGAATTACTTTCCGGAGTCCTCACCAATTTTGATAACCACACAAATGTTTTCTTAATTCCGTTCCTTGGTTACGACTGTTTATATCAAAGACCATCGGTACATCCTTCTACTGCGAGTAGCTGAAGATAGACTCCTCCAACCCCGAGGGGGTCACCCCTTGGAGTGCCAAGTAACTCGAGTCGAAACACTGTTTAAGTGTGTTGGTCAGGATATTAAATGGGATAGTTGGAGTAGGGCGAGCCTCCACTACCCTCAGGTCCTCTCGTTTATATAAATCTTTAGTTACATAGGCCCCATACTATTAAACCTGTTTATTAACGATATCGGGGAGGGCGTGAATAGCCATGTTTCCGTGTTTGCTGATGATACAAAAATTGGGAGGGTAATAGACTCGAGCTTAGACACTATAACATTACAGGAAGACCTGGATAAAATAGGTGAGTGGGCAACTATATGGCAGATTTTCTATTATTTCTGACTTCAGCCAATAGGGGAAAAAAAAACTGTTCCAGGAAAGAAGGGATTATGCAACTTTCTCCAGGACAGTGGCCCATTCCCTAGATAGCAGCCGTGAAAACTCAAACTGAAAATCAGACTTTTGTAGGTAGTGAGCTGTGCCATGAGAGAGGAAAAAGGTAAAGAGCTTATAACAGAGTCTGTGCATGGGTACTATTAGATGGGATAGCAAGAGAATTGGAATAGGTCAAAGGAAAACCTGTAGTGGGGAAGCATGGAATCTGCCATTACCCACCTCTCCTCAGACTGCAAATGTCTTAGCTGTCATGCTGAGCCAGTGGCTTCAGTACTTTTAAAGTGCAACAAGGAAAAATTGTATTTTTGTATTCACTGTAAAATCCTTTCTTGAAGTCCATTGAGGGACGCATGAATTCTTAAGACTGTCAAGTTATACTGCTGCCTACAGACAACACAGCCATCATGCCATAGTTGTGTACCAAAGCAGTGCCAAGAGCATGAAATAAACACTGAGGGGAGGGACTTGTGTCCCTCAATTGACTCCAAGAAAAGGATTTTACAGTGCATACAAAAATCCTATTTTCTTTATTATCCATTGAGGGACACCGGATTTCTTAGGCTGTTGGGATGTCCAAATGCAGTCCAACAGAGGGGTGGGCAAGAGAGCAATTAGGGCTAACAGGCTCAAGAAAAGACAACAGAAAACTGGCTACAGCTCGAAGAGATGCATAAAAGGACCCAATGCCCAAAGATGGCATCAGATGACGCCTGAACATCCACCTGGTAAAACTTAAAGGAGAACTATGAGGCGAGTGAAAATCACTCAGCTTCATAGTTCTAGCCGACCTGTGACAATGAAACTGTCACAGGTCTGCTCAATAGATCGGGGAGTGAACACATACCGTCGCTCGCTCACTTCTCGATCCTGTCCCTGCAGAGAGCAGTGACTGTCTCTCACGGCTCCCTGCAGGGATTTCCCCGCTCTGATCCTCCAGAGCTGACTGGCAGAACGGACGGGGGAGTAGGCAGGCACAGCTTGCTCTGCCTCTAGATAGGCAGAGCCAGCAGTCACTCAGGGTGGATCCAGATAGTAATGTCGGGATCTGTCCCGGCTGCGGTGTCTCAGTATACCGCGAGCAGTAGCTTGCGGTATACTGAGCTTTGGTTGACGAGAGGACGCTAGTTTGTGTCCTCCCGTTACCCTTAGGAGAACTATGGGGAAAAGCACTGACCCCATAGTTCTCCTTTAAGAAATAAAAAAAAAGAAGCAAACTTGGAAAATTTGCATAATGCTAAAAAAGAGCAAGAAGCACTAGCAGATCTAGTAGAGTGCGGCTTGATAGGACAAGGTGGAACCTGATCCTTAAAGTAGTTTTAAACGCTCAAACTTTCATATTAAATCCAGATGAAACAAATACACATTGCCCAACAAAGTATTTCTTCACCTTTTCACCCAAGCACTTACAGTCATCATGTTTCAAACAACTAGCTCCATCTCTCTCAGCTTTCCTGAACTTCCTGTCCAGTACATGATCACAAGGGCTAGAGCAGTCTCCAGCAGCTGTCCATCCACTAGTTGGGAGAAGAGAGGGAGGGAACTGACTTGCTTGTGCGCTATATAAAGACTCGCCGCCTGGCTTCCTGATTGGTAGTGAAGCTGGCCAATCAAGAAGCCAGGCGGCAAGTCATTACCTGACCCCCGGCTTCCTGATTGGCCAGAAAGCCAGCTCCATGCTTCCTCGTCAACTGGTGACGAGGGAGCCTAGAGACGGTCTCAAAGCTAATCAGGAAGCCGGGTGCCGAGCCATTAAATGCTGCCTGGCTTCCCGGCTAATTAGGAGGCTGGGCAGCGAGTCATTACACACCGCCTGACTTCTGTAATGGGACTTCCGGTATCGGTATTCAGTATCGGCGAGTACCGGGAAACATTTTTTTGCTACTCGTACTCTACACCGAAAAAACGGTGCATCACTAATATATATGAGACACAGATTAAGGCAACTGTATTATTAATATATCATTAAATTATAGTTATAATTAAAGCATTGTAAGTACCTGAATTTGACTTGGCATTAGTCGCTTGCAGTCCTTTGTACAGCAGAGCTCAGATTGTGGGAGGGAGAAGCAGCAACAAAAAGTCAATCATTTTGTGTTTTGTATTGCCCATGTGTTAAGAAGGAACATGCTGTTAGGGGAGAGAGAGCAGCGTGACAGGGAGATGCCAGTTCTCCTTCCATCGTGCATTTACAGGCTGGGGGAGAGAAAAGACTTGTAAGTATAACTTAACAGCAGCAGAAAGAAAAATCAGGCGTCTTTCCCTGCCAGGCAGGGTTATGCCGAGCAGCAGAGCTATGTATATCTCCGGACTGGATGGACAGAAATACACATCCTCTGGCAGGTAAACTAGCTCCCTTATATGTATATATGCGTATATATGTGTTTGGTTGGAGTTTTGCTTTAAAGTTGTCAACTTGTACAATGGAAAGATGTGTTTCAAGCATAGTAACTAGAGGTGCACCAAAATGGAAATTTTAAAAACGAAACCGAAATAAAAAAAAATTGTCAGGCCGAAACCGAAAATGTTTTTTAATTTAATTTTTTAAATATTTTACTTATTTTTTATAAACTTTAATTTTTTTATATTTAATTGTATAAATTCATTTATTAAATATTTTTACTTTACTTTTAGGGCCTTTGGGGAAATATTGGGGGGTCTAAACAGATCTCTGATATTTCCCTTTTAAAATAAAAAGAGATTGAGAACACAGAGTCCTCAATCTCTTTTTCTGTGTCCCCTGTTATCAATGAACAGGAATCCTCTATACTGAGTGTTCCTGTTCATTCATAACATGAGGCTATAATATGTTTACTACAACCACAATCATGAATGAACAGGAAGTGATGTAGATCACTTCCCAGTCATTCATAATTGAGGATATAGTAACCATACTCTGTCCTCACTTATGTACAAACACTCAGTCTGCTTGTACCTTGCTCTCCTCTCTGACACACTGTCACAGGAGGCTGAGCGAGTGGTGCAGGGAGAGCTCAGCCTCCTGTGACAACGCGGCCTGTCTCCGTCCACACACCGCTCTACCGTACTGTGATAGGAGGCTGAGCGGTGTGGGAGGAGAGACACCGGCCGCTGACAGCGCTCTCCTCTCGCTGCGCTCGGCCGGCTGTCACAGTTTCTCTCCTCCCCGCTGGGACACAGAGCAGCGCCCAGCGGGGAGGAGAGAACAAACGGATGCGCCACTGTATCGGCACAAAAATGCCACTTTCGGCATTATGTCAAAAGTGCAATTTTCGGCCGATATGTTTCGGCGGCCGATATATCGGTGCATCTCTAATAGTAACTGAATGCAAGTGGTAGTGCCAGCCCTAAAAACTAAAGCTTATGTATTTTTACTTTCGAAGGATATGTTGCCCATTGCACCAACCAATTAGAATAAAGCTGTCAGTTTTCTGGTGCAGAAAAAAAAGGAATGATGGTTTGGGCTTTACCCTGAGTTCCGCATTATGTTTTTCATGTATTAGTGCAATAGGTAAAAAAAAAAAACCAGGACAGT